TATTATCAGCGTTCTGATGGCATTTTAGCCAAAGGATAAGCAGTCATCCAAAGTTCCAAAAACTCATTTCAGGGAGACTCTTATCCCCCAACCACCCACCCCCCGGGTCCAACGGACCCACACGGTGCCCCATACACACAACTTTCCATCAACTGTTTATCAACTAAGAGTAATTTCTTAAACACTAAACAGAACAGCATTGGTCTTTTATTTCAATACTTTCAATCTTGTAGCCTTAAACATCAGTTGTGCTTTCTGTTTTCCATGGACTTCAGCATACTGGTGTCATCATTCCCCACCATGACCGGGTCTAGACAGGGGCCAACGGGGGCCAGTGCCCCTGTAGATCATGTCATGGCCCCTGTACTGAAAACATAATACTTATTGAAATTCTAATGATGATGTGCTGGAACAGATTACAAATTCTGTTTTACTAATTATTCAAAACAATAAGGTGATAGCTTCAGTGGTATTGAGATGTGATCCCAGTTTTCATCTGCTAAATGTTTTCTTTTTACCAATAAAAAAACAAAATTGCTCTTATTTTTTCAGATGAATTTAACAGTTTTTCTTGAGTTCTAAATCACATTTGATAGAAAACAGTAGTTTTAACTTAAATTAAGTAAAAATATGTAAAATTCCTTAATTATAAATTTATATTGACCTCATACAAAATAGAATTTTTATTTAACCTGATTGGAAAGAAATTTCACTTCATGCAGCTCTCTTAATATATTTAAATCTCTTGCCCTGTTTTTTATTTCATGCTTTTCTGGGCCCCCATGAAAACATGCTGCCCCCCCCCCCCCCCCCCCCCCCCGGCCCTCTAATGAATTTGGTCTAGATCCGCCACTGTTCCTCCCCTTCATTAGACGTGGATATACTTTAGTATATTCTGCTGTAAAATTAGTCCTATATTTTCATTATTTAGTTGAGGATTCAACCTGAACCTGTTTCCCAGAATGCACAGCTTTGAGTGGTAACTAGGTGACTGCCAGAGAAACTTATCGGACTGATCCAATCAGCTCTCTGATCAACCAGTCTCCTGGAACGCTGGTTGATCAGAGCATCGCTTTTCATAGGTTTCACTAGTAACCTCCTCCCCACACCCCCGCACTCTCTTGTTGTCTGCGCAATCGAAGCAGTTCTAATCCACACATGATGCACAAATTATTGTATTACCTGCCCGCTCTCACGCGCATTAAAAAACAACACCTCACCCTCTAAAATCTGGGATAATTTATCACGGCATCCGTGAACAACTATCTATATCAGGGAGACTCCTGGAACTTCCAGGGACTTGGGATGTTTGGATTAGTTAGTAAGTAAAGGATAGTAGTTCTATTAACCATACATGTGAACAGAGTTTTATGGGGCCCCCAGGAACCTTTGGGCCCTAGGTAGCTGCCTAGTAGTGCCTAATTGTAACCAATGAGTATTGCTGGAGCAAATGCTCTGCAAAGCTCTGCTGCATCAAATCCAAGCTGAGGGAAAAATCCTCACAGAAACTCTCCTTCCACCTATTTTTTTCCCCCAGTGTCCTGTCTGGTGATGTGGCAATAAGAATTATTGTTTTGATGCTAAAAAGAGCCCAACAGATTTTACTTTCACAAGTGGAGCAGTACAGCCATCGCCAGAGTGTTCTGCTTGATTTATGCATATAAATTGCTTTGTTATAATTATGCAGGGAGTTTTACAGATTATATGGACGCTGCAATGTAAGTAGAACCGGAAAGGAAAAACAGAAAAAAGGAGTAAAGATTAAAGAAAGAGGAGATAAAATGGAGAAAATGACAAAACATTTTCAGTCTGCTTCATCACCTGCAAAGAGATGGAAAAAGAACAGAACAACCAACGGACATGGTAGGAGAATAAAGTAACACCTAGAAGATCAGAATATGGGCTTTCTGTATGGAAGTGAATCTCTGAGTACCTGGAACCAAGCACCCGTAGGTGTTTGTGAAAGGCACTTGTGCATGTTAAGTTTATCCGAAGGAAAAATGCTCAATAGTGGTTGTGAGGAGCCAAAGACGCGACCCTCCCAGAGCACCGAGGCAAGCGACCCAAAGCCCTAGACGCCCAAAGGGACCTTTCCTTCCACCTAGACTCTCTCTCCAGTGGTGAGATCTCCAGAGTGGCAGGTTGCTTCAATCTTTAATTCTCAACCCCTGCTAACGTTACATGGACCTAGTGGCTACCTCAGAATCTGATCATATTTGATCAAGTCTGCAACATCTATCCATGCATCGTATTCTATCAGGGTCACATTAATAATTGGCAATCCTTTTGGGGAAAGCCTGGTCTGATTCGGAGAGACGGCATCCATCCCACTTTGGATGGTGCAGCTCTTCTCTCTAGGAATCTGGCCACATTTATTAGTCCTCCAAAGCCCTGACCACCCAGGGTGCAGACCAGGAAGCAGAGTCGCAGTTTAACACACATCTCTGCAGCTTCTCTGCTGTTACCCACTCTTTACTCCATCCAGACAGTGTCTTACCCACGACCAAAATCTAATAAATTAGCAAATATTCCCATAGGAGTACATAATGATAATCTCATTAAAATTAAAATAACTCCAATTGGAGAAAAACGTAAAACGTCAAAGTTAAAGCTGGTTTTCCTTAGAAAGAAAACTTTGAAGCAATCTGACTGGGTGATCTAGTTGAAGTGGCTTAGACAAATTTTCTTGTCATTTTGAAAATACACAGTGTACATAACATGAAATTTCTTTTTGTAAAGCTTTCATAACATTTCAATTTCTTAAAGTGCAGCAGTGATCAAATGTAAACAGAACAAGAAGAAGAAACATGGAACTGTAAAGTTCTTGAGATGACATTCTCCTGGTCCATAAAACATATGTGCAACTGTTGGGAGAACTCCCATAAACCCTGGGGCACCCTGCAGAGCTGGTTCACTGTCCCTGGGCTCAGAAGAAAACCACACTGCTCCTCCCGGAGCCAAGGTTCAACAACCATTGAAATTCCCTCTCCAGAACCCTGGCATAGATCTTCCTGGGGAGCTGAAAAAGAACCCTCCTTGGGCCAGAAACTTAAAGTAGTGGAGTGGTGTCACTGCCTGGATGAGCCCAGAGGGTATGATGTCTGGTGGGCTTAAAGGCCCCAGGTAGGATCTACAAAGGCAAACAGACTCTGGGTAATAAGAGAAAGAGTGATTCAAAAAGTCCCCTATGATGACAAAAAAAGGAAAGTACATGACGTCTAGCCTTGTGAGACCATCCTGATCTCGCGAGCTTTCAAGGTTTCACTCGCTAATCAGTCTGGAGACTCTCCGTTAAAGAAAATTTGGAGCCGTTCACCAAACGAACGTCCAATCAGCGTTGGCTTTGAGGCGGGTTGAGGTGTGACGCAACCAGAAGCACGACAGTCCAGTCTAAAGAACCATGGCGGCT